TGTTGAACGTTACGATTTATCTGGATAATTGTTCAGGTTTTAGGCTTGGGAATAACACACATGTTTTCTCTGTGGTGGTCAACACGGAAGTGGTTTTATTTTTCTTTTTCTTCTTAGCCTACAGGATATATACAGTGACCAACTCTTACACACTAACATTTCTATGTACAGTCGGTTGTTGCCAACCTAAATCCGTTTTGTGCTTACTGGATTTCAACACGTCGTTTCAAATTAACTATCGTTTGAAAATATTTTAAAAAAAACTATCTTTTTCCATACCTTAAAATCGAATTACGTTCACATCAACAACACTCGGACGACAAAGCAGCCTATCTGGATAACCCTCGTCCTCATCGTGCCCCCCTCCTACACACTCATTGGATAACACCTCGGATCGGAATACAGAAGAAGAGTGAAAGTGCCGCCCCTTACACTATACTACTGCTTGTAAGGACCGGGGGGATAAGCTATGCGCCTTCCGTAAGTGGCGTCTCATTCCAAAAACCTTTCACGGAGTGCCGCTCCGCACTACCGGCCGTCACTGCTATGGCCCGTCACGCGGGGATGAAATGTAGAGTGACTAATGTGACGGGGGCTGTGACGCGCGCATTGTGTGCTGCCCTAGAGGAAGGCGCCGCCGCCATGGCCCGTCTCGCGCAAACCATTTGGCGCGCAATTTCAAAGCGGCGGGGAAGTCAGAGCAGAGCGGGCGCGAAGCGCGCATGCAATAAAACCGTTTCATTTATGACAAACAGGAAAAAAAATGTTGTAAAATTTAGCTTGAGCGTTTTCCGAAAAAAAATCGAAGGCAAAAAAAATGTAAAAAAAAAAAGTGGAAATTTTTGAAATTCTGGAATAAGGCGAGAGGGAAAGAGGGGTGTGGTGTGGGGGCTGGTACACATGGCACGTGTCACATTCGTAGTTTTCCAGAGCTTTGAATTATTGGTTTGTTTACCCAAGCTGGTGCCTGCCTGCCTAGGCTCGTTGTCACACGGTGCCCGCATGGAAATAAGTAAATAGGAATGACACTTTTATGTGTACTTTTCTAAAGGGTATACAGAAAGTATACTTAAAGTATAGCAGATTGGCACGGCCCTACTTTGCTGGCACTTTTGGCATACGCTTGTCCTATACTTTTTGTATACTTTAAGTGTACTTTTTGGGCACTTTGGACAGTCACATTTTTGGGGTACTTATTTCCATGCGGGTGGAATCACACTTTCCTTAGGACCCTATTATAAATGAACCCCGCTTCAGTCGAGACGAAGTCGCCGTCCTCGTGGTGGTCGTCGCTTGGGGTCGCGAGCGGCCGCCGTGGCTGTGGCCACATGGTGGTCACCGCGGTCAAGGAGGTATACATACCCATTTCATAACTAAAGCGGAAGCTCGCTGACGGGCCGCGGGTGGGCGGGCGGGCCGGACCCTGTGGGGACCTGGGAGGGACCCTGAAGGGGGGGGGGGGGGGGGCACAGCTAGCGCTGTCAGCGCGCCCGCCCTGCCTGCGGTGAGTCGTCTTCTTTTAATATTCGAGACAAGACACGTCCGCGTCCGGCAGCGTTGGAGCCTTTTTGGTCAGAGAAAGCGACAATGTGCGCTTATATACGAATGGGGGGAGGGCTCCCGGTTGTGTCTCTGAGGTTGTGTCTGCCGCCCGCGCGAGGACTCTGGGCACTCACCCACGATCACACAAACGGCGACGCAACACACATCATTGCTATTCCAGCGACGACGCGATACAGGTGGCGCCAACCTGAACTCTATCACACAACACAAACCTGCTGCCAGTTCGGTGAGTCCCGGTGAGTTCATTTTCCTTGTTCTGCGCTGCGCCCCGGATTCTCCTCCACAGCTAAAACTCCTTCCAAAACCGCACACGAAGCACCACCACCACCACCACCACTACTACAACCGACCATACCACAAACTAAAAGCTTTCGGCAGCCGCGCTCGCACTTGAAAAGCGCGCCATTACATGCCGCCGCGGTTTGCACGCCGCGTGTAAGTTTCCCTCAGTTTTGAGAAGCGCGGCGGTCGGCGGCGCCATTCAGTTGTAATAACGCGAGCACCGCACGGGCGCATTTAAAAGTTGGCGCCTCTGATTGCTGGGCGCGAAAGGAATAGGTTTTCCCAGAACAATTTAGAAACGATCCAGCGCAAGTTTATAGGTATATAATACGCTCAGCGCACCCTCAAACCGAGTGAGTGTTGGGCGCGACGAAGCAAGTAGTCTTTGCGATCCACCCACCCCCGGAGCAGAGAGCAGATCATTCAGCAGAGCTCTTCCGATACACAAACCCGCCGGGGCGAAATAATCACAATAAACAGAGAGATGATGAGCAGAGACGGCATGGGAACGATACAACGGCGGCGGCGGCGTTTATTCGGAAGAACGACGAGCAGGGGAGCGAGGCCGTGTTTTATTTCCTCTCTTTATGGAAAAGCCCCGAAAAGCCCCGCCGATAATACGGTACAAAACGCTGCTGCTGCTGCTGCTGTTGCTGCTCGTGTCTGTGTTGTGGCCCCGCCGCTCGGCTCGCCCATACCTATATCTCGGCTCTGCTCTCGACGTTGATTGACGAGACGAAATGTGGTTTTCGCAGAAAATACAAAATTATTTCATTATTCCATATATATACACACTCAGCAGCGTTCGCCCGCCTACAGCCCTCTACAGCTCCCCTCCAGCCCGCACGAGGCAGTAGTATAGTCGTCTGCTCTGCTTTGGGCACCACGTGGCGCATGGCGCATTCCGCCAATAACGGGAGAGCGAAGAAGAATTCGAGGTAAACAAAACAAACGGCGAAATCATTGAGCGGTGATGGAGAGGAGGAATGTCTGGTGGAAGCCCACGGCACCACACGGGCCGCAGCCGCGGGAACGTGCTGCCACTCACACAACGCACTAAATCGTTACGCATCGTGTTAGGCATAGACATGCAGAATTTTACGCATTAACTATGTAGAGTTTATAAATAATAATAATGCACTGCACAATTTGTACATAATTATATATAAACTTTGTGCATACTACTTATGGCTGTATAAAATTTTGCATGTTTATAAGGGTTTAGTGTGAACTGTGTGACGTCACACACGTCACGCCGTGTCACACTGGCGGGAAAAAGCAGTGTCACATCCGTACCATATTCTCTCTCTCTCTCTCTCTCTCTCTCTCTCTCTCTCTCTCTCTCTCTCTCCTCTCTTTCTCTCTCTTTTCTTAAGCAGGTAGATAATTGGTTCAACTCAATGGAGCTCTCAAGCTCTACCGTACCATTTCACGAAATAAAAATCAATCAATCAAAATCTCTCTCTCTCCTCTCTCACCAGTACCCCCCCCCCCTTCCCTCCAACCCAAGTCAGGGCCGATTTCCGTGTGCTTCCCTCGTCTGTCTAAGCATTCAATATTCATGGCTGATTGGGTCGAAACAGCCGTCGAACACGGGAGACAAGGGTCAGACGAGGATATTTCAGCAGCTGTCCGTTGCAGTAACGGTTGGTTTATTTGCACTGCTCAACAGATTCACAGATGGAAACGTGTTACGAACAACCATATGACGCATGTACACATAACAGTGTACTCATTACTGGGGGTGAGTTGACGATGTCAGGTCAGACTCCCTCACACGACTTGGTGTGACGTTGTCAGACTGTCTCACGCTACTTGATGGTGTGACGTTGTCCGACTGTCTCACGCTACTTGGTGTGACGGTGTCACAGACTGTCTCACGCCACTTAATTGGTGTGACGTTTGCCTATAACTGTCTTAGACTAATTGGTGTGACGGTGTCATAGACTGTCTCATGCTGCTTGGTGTGACGGTGTCATAGACTGTCTCACGCTATTTGGTGTGACGGTGTCATAGACTGTCTCACGCTACTCGGTGTGACGGTGTTGCTCATGCACAGAGCGCGCATAGAGCGCTCGGGCGCGCGCGGCTCCGTCTCTCCGATACCCGGCCGTAGGAAGGACTTTCTCTGCTTCGGCTCGGCTGGAGAGCAGGCAGGCGCACTGCATGCCCGGTCAGGGCGGGGCGGAGCGGGGCGGGGCAGGACGGCGTCGAAATGAGATCACGATGAAGACGACAACGGAGAGCAGCCCGGGCAGAGGGCGAGCATAGGGCCCCTTTTTGGTGGACGCCGAGGCGCCGAGCTAACGTATCGCCAACTATACTAACGTGCAATGACCCGTGTGTGGTGTAACGTGCGTAATGTAACGCCAACATCGCGCTGTCCGGCTCACCGCCGTGACGCGTGACGGTCTGCTGACACGCGCTGACACGTGCGGACACGTGCGGACACGAGCTGACTCGTGCAGGAATCATCGGGCTCTGCGTTTTGCAGTTTTGCACGACAACGTTCAACCATACGAATGTGTTGGCGACACTGGCACCCTGACATAGTATTTTTTATTTATTTTTTGCACCCGTCCTCGGTTGCGCAGTAGCAGTCGTGTGTAACTTTTCCAGACGAAAACAAAAAATTGCAATATAGCTGAACAGCTGAAAAATATAACAATAGAGGGGAAAATTGTGGAGCTATAGCTAAAAATTTTGCAAAGTCGATATGTTTTCGGCTAATTAACAATTT